AAGGCAGATACAGGAAAAAACATAGCTGTTCCACTTCTAGCAAAAACATACCTGTGGACTCCTGTGCTTGCCTAGAATAAGTCCATTTAATATGATGAGATAGGAACTTGGCATGTGAAGTTCTTCTGCCGAAAGTTGTTCCAAGTCCTCAACACCCAAGCAGTAGCACAGAGAAATAATAGGCTGCTCATCCTCATCTGTCGTAACATGAGTCATCAATGCCAGGTTTTTCACCAATCCACAAGCTTCACCTTCCGGGGTGTCACAAGGGCAGAGCATCCCCCACTGGCTTGGTTGCAGTGCTCTAGGACCACTAACTTTTCTAGACTTCTCAAACTGTGGCGAGATCTTTGTCATGTGGCCCAATGATCCAATGTATGATAACCGAGCAACAACCTGAGTCATGCCTTTCCTGTGCATCCTAAATCGTTTTACATCCCAGTTGCCTGTAGAAAGGGTTCTCTCCATGCCCACAGTAATACTATCTTTTGCTATGTATGGAGAAATGTCCAAACGGCTGGAGCGACTGGGCCTTGCTAAAAGGGCATCAACTGTCTTCCTAGCTTCATCATTCATCGTCTTGAACAAATCCTCAAAAAGGAGAGATAACAGCTGACCGGAGAGCTCCAGTCGTTTATTCCCAACATAGTCCTTGTCATCCATTGCATCCTTGTTTAGGATTGCTTCCATCATGCGCCTCATCATCACTGCAACATATATGCATTTTTTGCGGAAATTATGTTTATGTACAGGAACATTTGCAAGAAATATGTCACGAAGAATACTCAAAGCTCGCGCTCCCTTCTCAACTGGACCAGCAGAATATGAAAACATTTTCAGCATCTTATCACTCTCGAGGAACTCCAATGCCTGTTGTTGCGTATACACCTTGAGATCTGCACACTCCTCGATTGATGGCAAAAGCAGAGCACTAAACCGAGGATCTCTTCCTATCATTTGCACAACCTCTTGATCGCTCTCCATACCCATGGCCTTCATGACAATCATGATGGGGACCTTGGTTTTGAACATATTCAACTCCAAGTACACCTTTTCTTTCTCCATTTTTACAATTGTTTTGCTTTTTGTTTTTTCTGTGCTGCTGGTAACAGATGCTTGCACACACCCTTTTTTATCGGTATCAATGATTATTCTGTTCTTCGAGAGCTGCTCCTGAATCAGAATTACCTTCTCAGTCCCTTTGATGACAAAATACCCTCCGGGATCAAGTGGGCATTCTCCAAGTTTTGCTAGTTCTTCTTCATCCTTCCCATATAGCACACAGCAACAGCTTCTAAGCATAACCGGCATCCTTCCAATGGTAACATTCTTCTTTGTTTGCACTGATATCTGCCCATGACTTCCCGTTGTGTATTCGATATCGACATAAATTGGAGCCGCATAGGTAATGTCACATAGCCGACATTTCTGTGGATTTAGTTTCTCCGTTACGCCATCAACCATAATTGATGGTTCACCAATATGAACATCATTGTACTTAAGATAAATGTTAGGGTCCAGTATCGATCTAATCTCCTTATTCGCATGGACGATCTTCTTTATTTCCGTCTTGACAAAGTAATTGAAGGAGTCTAAGTGTTGCTTCACCAATCCTCTCACCTTCAAGAATTCTGGAACAAGCTGATACTTGTCCACCAAATTCTTAATAGGAGATGCAAGGTACTGCTTGTCAATTCCGTGGCTCAAGTCATTCGTCGGATTGGACATGGTGGAATCATCTCCCATACCCATTGCCAATCAATTTTTTCCAGCAAAACAAAACCAGAAACAGAAAGAATCCCAATCGAAACAAAGCAAGATGATCCGTTATCACCCTGCAACAACAAACAATGGAGGACGATTAAACATAAATATACAAATAGAACTATTAACTATCACTAGCAGCTTGTATCCAAGAAAAATAAAGAAAGATGCAGTTATACACAAGAACGAGTGACAAATTTTCTGTATTACAACACACTACTATTTGAAAGGAAAAAAAAAACTCCTTCTTTCATGCTAGTCTTAAAGCAATCAATTTACGACAATGAAGAATCAAAACATCAGCAAAAATTAGTGATTTTTCTGTATGTTTACATAAAAATTCAAAACCCTAAGATTGAAACTTAGAGGGAAAGGAGGCTGACGATTTCGAAATCCCCTACTTCAGAGCTCTGTTAGAAGGGTTTAACGGAGGCCAGCAAAAGTTAAGCTAAAAGAGAGAGGGTTTTGGGGGAAAACTTTTCCCACTTATGTTTTTAGCAGAAAGAAGAATAAGGCAGAATTAAATAAATTATATTAATTCTGTAGGCCGTATGCCAAACAAGTTTTGAGAGAAATTAAGTATATTACCAGAAATAAAAATATATTTTGACAAATATGTAAGCAATTTGTTGCCAATTTATTTATAATTTTATCTTTTTTTCTCAAATCCATTATATTTAATTTATTATTATATTACTCGAACAAAAACTTCAAAATCTAAAAAATTATTAGGATTTCAAACATTTAAGAGCTGGTGCATTGAACTGTAATTGCAAAAAAATTGGAAGATTTTGGCTTTAAAAGTAATAGCCCTGTAAATATGGTAACAGTTTGATAATTAAAAAAACATGGTAAAAATTTTTATTGCCAAAACGTTTTTGATAAATCAAAACTTTCATTAGCAAAGCTGAAATTATGTACAAGAAAAAAAGGTGTTATTAAATGAAGTTGTTACCATTTATTGAAATTAGCAAGCGATATTATGGTTCGCTAAAAGAATTATTACCAATTGTCTACTTTGTTGTAGTGACTAGCTAAACGAAAAAATTTGGGGAAAAAAAAAGTGCCGCGTTGGTCTTTTAATTTGAGCTTGAAACAATTCTAAACTAATTTCAAGTCTGAGGAAGGTATTACGTGTGACTAAATTTTCAAACTAAAAATTGACTAGGAGATAGAAATTGTCTAGCTAGTGTTGCATATTAGCTACGATTCGATAGCTCTAACTAAAATGTGAGCTAACTGCACGTTTTCTTTGTAGTGAAACTTATTCTTTTGCAAATAAATATCAAACTAAATGAATTCGGTTCTTGATTTGACAAAATTCGAGTCACTTAAATTTATTTATTTATTGAAGGGCACTCAAACTTATTATAGCTCCTTAAAAGTATTATCGCTTGCATAATCTAAAGCAAGAGTTTAGGCCATTCACCTACCAATAAAGTTTTCACTTTGACAAAATCTCATTTTATACCCATTAAATCCAAACTATTTTTCCTTTAATGTTCATGCCCAAACTATTTACTATTCCTACTCATAGGCCCAAATTAATTACCCGCTAATTTTTCAACCGCAACCTACAAATAAAAGCTGAGCTAGAAAATCATCAAACTTTTCTTTGGATTTTCTTCTTTTCTCTATTATCTTATCCAGCAACCTCATAATTTTTTTTCTGGCATGCAATTAAATATTTAAGGGCTTTAGTTGTTGAGTACGAACTTTAATGAAATAGTTCCCGCAAACAAGGAATCTTGAAAGAGAACCTCAAGTTGTGAATTAGAGATTCAAACTCCAAAAGAATATCCTTAGTTTTGTGTGGCAGTAATAATATTTGTGGATATGGCATTTACAGAAGTCTCTGGTCATTTACGTCTCTGGTCCCATGCTAATATCATCCTTTGAGAATCTTTCCATTATCCACCATTGTTGGGCTTGAAGCTCAATTTTATTTTTGAAGATTTCTTGTTTGATTCAAAGTGGGTGCTGTTAAATATTGCTTATAGTACCTTCTGGAAGTTCATACTGAAATTGGATAGCATTTGGAGCTGATTTGAGGTGATTGAGATCGAAATTTTCAGTTGAAAATCGAAGAAGAATACGGCTACAGTATACCGCTACGATATACAATATGATGTAGGAGTATATAGTTATACTGCAACAGTACACTATTATAGTTTACAAAACAGTATACTGCTACAGTATACTAATATACTATAGGAGTATATAGTTATACTGCAACGGTATACTATTATAGTATACAATATATTGTTATGGTATACTGTAATAATATGCAAGATACTATAACAATATGTTGTAATAGTATACAATATACTATAATAATATACTTATTACCCGTAAATTCACTTGTCTTTTCCCTTTTAATTTATTTTAAGCTTTTACCCAGCGTGAGGGGCAGATTGAAAATGCAAAAAAAATAATAATTATAATATGCTATATAACGTAATGGTATACTCTTACAATTAGATCCTTTTAGAATTTTTTAAATTTTTTATTGACAACTGATATTATTTTAGTTTAATAATTGAATTAAAAAAAAATTTAACTCTTTGCGTACAATTGTATACCTTGTTGGTATAGTTATATACTATATTGGTATCATATGTTAGTTAATATTTATTTGGTTGTATTAGCTACATTTAATTGGTACACAATTTGATTTTTATTTAGTAATAATATAAATAATAATAATAATAATAAATAGTGAAAACAATAAATGAAATTAGATTATGAAGAGAAAAAGAATATAAAAAAGAAGTTAAATGAAATTAGAAAAGGAAAAAAGAAAAAAATAAGAAGAAAACAAGAAAAATAAAAAGGAGAAAAGAAAAAAAAAAGAAAAAAAAAAGAAAAGAAGCATAGAAATAAAAAAGAATTGGAGAAAAAAAGAAAAAATTCCCCACAAAAACCTACTATGGGTAGGAAATGTAATTAGTTTATGGGTAGAAAACAAATGGGTAGACAAGGGTAAATAGTTTTGTTTTTGTGGGTAACTGTGTCAAAACCTAACTTTCAAGAAATTAAGAACTCCGTTAAACTGAATATATATTAAAAAATACAACATAAAACTCTAGAAAAAATAAATGTATCCTCTTGGAATTACATTTTCATGAATCACACAGTAAACAAACAAATATGAATTCACTCCTTTAACATAGCACACAAAATTAATAACAAAGATTCCAAGCTTCCATAGGTCTGTTCATAAATAAACTTTCTGTTTAAAATTTTGATTGCATCAGAGCAACTATGCTTTCATCCACTTGAAAAGCCTTGGCAAGAATATCTGTTGCTATAGCTGGATCCGATCCGAAAACTGCATTAGCAATGGTTATAACACCAGGATTCTGACTACTCAATGCTGCAATTGCAACAGCATTTCCCTTTCCAACATTGCGTTGGTAGTGAACAAGTCCAATAGGAAATACAAACACATCGCCTTTTTTAAGTACCTTAGTAATAAGACGATTTTCGGGGTTTGAGGTTACAAAACCAACTTGAAGAGAACCTTCAAGGACAGTGAGTATCTCAGTAGCTCTAGGGTGAGTGTGAGGAGGGTTGATTCCCCATGGTGCATAGTCGACGCGAACCAATGAAATACCAAGAGTGTTCAGTCCTGGTACTTGAGCTACATTGACAGGAGTGACCTTAGAACCAACAGCATTTGTTGTGTAGCCAGCCAAATGCAGCCCACTGAAGAAAAAGTCCTCTGCTTGAACTGACTTGGGATCTTTGCAAGCTAAGCCGTTTACCCTGTCTGAAACAATACGGTGAGAAAATGCATCAAACCATTTCATTTAAATTAAAAAATAAGAGAAAATTGCAATACACGTCTATTCATTGATTTGAAATACCTAGGCTAGCAGGATCGGCCACACAGAAATCTTGCATTGGACTTGGCTCAAAAGCTAACACATTAACACAGCAGAAACTTACTACGGCTATCAGATTCAGCAGGAGAAACAGGTTAGCCATTTCAAAACACTGAAAGCCAGAAACTAGGAGGAGCAAAACTGCAAAAGGAAGGAAGAAGTAAATGGAAGAGAAGAAAGATATTTAATTGTGGGATGATATGATTGATAAGTTAGCCTGCTTATATAGAAGAGAGGAAAGACTTCATGCATGCAAATTGGAGAGTAATATGTGTCTTTTTTGAAAAGATTGTAAAGGGCCGTCCAAGCACACATAAAGACTTTGACAAAGATTAGCTGTCATTTGATAGAACTCCTGCAGAAAGAAGACAAGAATAAGAGGTTAGCCGGCTAAGACAAAAGGAAATGGTCCAAAACTGTGTTTTAAGGATTAACAGTGTGATTCTTGAATACCAAGGATGGACAAGTGAAGGACTAATTCAACTGAGATCTGATGGACTGCTTGTTTTAGAAATTTATCCCAATCCTTCAAATTAATCAACTGCATATGGAATCCTGCTCTTCACTTGTTCTTATCAACAATAGTGATGTTGTAGAGTTATTTCTATAAAATAAAGTTCCTTTTTTTCCATTCATTGGTTATCTGCAGAGATCAACGGGACCATATTCATCATGATGTAACCTTCCAAATAATATGCTAAAGTTACAAAGTGTAATAATACAGGATCCTAGTTTTATGATTTTGATTTAGTGCATGTCTCTTGATTTACAAGAAACTACCAGTGATACCTCAAAAGGGGCAGCCCGGTGCACTAAGCTCCTGCTATGCAGGGGCGGAGGTACAATAGTGGGTGCGGGTTCGGACGAACCCACTGACTTTTTCCGAAACCTTGTATTTGTATTGAAAAATTTACCACATCTATATAAATATATTATACTGAACTCAATAACAAAAGAGGTTTGGGTTCAATGGTAGGGGTTGTAGGTTCGTGGGAAAAAGATGAGGGTTTAATTCCCCTTTAAAGCAGTATGTTATTTCGTTTTTTTTTTAATATTTTTTTCACAAATCAACTTAACGATAACGTTTTCTTTACTTTCCTTTCAACAGATACTAAATAACATTAAATACAACAGATACTAAATAACATTAAATAAAACATAACGTGCTTTCTTTCTTATAACAAAGAACAGAAGCTTCTCATTTCCCAACTCTAAACACAAACTTTTTCTTCCAAATCCCAAATCAAAAAAATCTAGGGTTCTGCTGCTTGTGTTGATTGACATCACTGGTACCACAAATCCAGTGATCAGTGTATGCTTCCAACTCTCCATTGACATTGTGTATCAGTGTATGCTCTTTCTCCCTTACAAGTTAGACCCTTCCTTCTTCAATTCTTATTGAGTGACTCCTTGGTCTTGTTCATGTTAAAGGTACAACTGCACATGCATTACAAAAAGAAATATATTCTTTGTTTTTAAAACATTCACTGAGTTCATCTTTAATATGAGGACAAGGGTATGATGGAGCTAGTAACATGCAAGGAAACATCAATGGTCTTAAAACTTTGATTTTGAAAGATAATCCTTCGGCTCATCGCATACATTGTTTTGCTCATCAGTTGCAATTGACTCTTGTAGCTGTTGCAAAGAAACACCATGATGTAAATAATTTTTTTGACATTCTTGCTAATGTTTTGAATTTTGTTGGAGGTTCTTATAAGCGTAGGGGGATGCTTAGAGATGATCAAGCTAAAAAATTAAATGAGTTATTAGTGCTTGGTGAAGTTCATACAGGAAGTGGATTAAATCAAGAACTTGGGCTTCAAAGACCAGATAATACCCGTTGGGAATCTCACTTTAAGACATTACGTAACTTTATTTATTTATTCTCATCGATTGTTCATATACTTGGGAGTTCTTGCAAATGAGGGTTCAAATTATCAGGAGAAAGCATTAGCCAAAAGTCTAGTGGAAGATATAAGATCTTATGAGTTCATTTATATATTACATTTGATGTTAAAACTATTGGCAATTACATATGATTTGAATATGGCCCTTCAAAAAAAAAATCAAGATATTGTTAGTGCAATAAAACTTGTTGATTTCACAAAGAGGCAATTGCAAACAATGAGAGAATCTAAATGGAATTCTTTGATAGAAGATGTCTCTTCGTTTTGTGATAAGAATGGTATTGTAATCCCAAAAATGGATGAGAAGTATGCACTTGGAAAGTCGAAGCGTAAAAGCTTAACTGTTACATATTCTCATCATTTGTACGTAGAGGTTTTTTATTTTCGGAGCTTAACAGTCGTTTTAGTGAAGTGAATACTTGTCTGTTTCTTGGTATGGCTAGTTTGAGTCCTGATGATTCTTTTGTGAATTATGATAAAAACAAGATTATGAAACTTGCTACATATTATCCAAATGAGTTCACTGCTTCTAAGCTTGAAGATCTTAGTTATGAGCTTGACAACTATATTGACTATGTGCGAGAAATGGACAAGGCATTCTCTAACTTGAAAGGGCTTGGTGATCTGTCGAAGACATTGGTTAAAACAAATATTCACAAGACATGGGAACTTGTTTATTTGCTTGTCAAGCTGAGTTTGATATTACCTGTGGCTACTGCAACGGTTGAAAGAGCTTTTTCTTCAATGAAGTTTATTAAAAATGATTTGCGAAACAGGATTGGTGATGACTTTTTGAATGATTGTTTAGTTTGTTTTATAGAGGATGAAATATTTGAAAGTGTATCTAATGATGCGATCATTGATCGTTTTCAAAACATGACAACTCGTCGAGTGCAATTGAAATGGTAATGCTAAATATCGATACTCATTCTTTAGTCGGTTTGATATTGTATATTAGTTTTAGGTCATAGTCTTATTTTAAATTTTAGAACCCACACACTCCAAATCCTAGCTCCGCCTCTGCCGCTATGCGCGGGGTCCGGGAAAGGCCGGACTACAAGGGTATATTGTATCAGCCTTACCCTGCATTTCTGCAAGAGGTTGTTTCCACGGCTCGAATCCGTGACCTACCGATGATATCACAAAATTGTAATAATATGTTGTCAAAAGTTATTGAAATAGCTGCCTCAGGAAGTTGCCGCTACCCGTTACAGGTATGCGCGCTTTTGAGCAAAATCCCCCCCCCCC